TTTTTATTGCTTTTTTCACAGCCGAAATCTTTCAATAGTTGTAGAAATAACAAATTGATTCAGTTGCAGGTCTGAAAATTAAAATCAGAAAAACAATTATAATGTCAAACCCAAAGAATTTAATATCATCGTATCAGAGTAAAAAAAACACATGAAATCTTATATAAACGGACATCGATCATAATATTATCCTGCTTACTATCGAGCAGAGTCTAAACTTTTACACAATCTTTCTTAGTAACAAAACATAGTTTATGAGTCGTATGCACTTAACACAAAATAAAACTGTGTGTAAGATAAATAACACCAAAAATAAATGACTGTATGAAACCACATCGAGGAAACTTATGTTAGAAAACAAATATTATAAGAATATTCAGAACTCAATAATAAAATAATCATGTAAAATAAAACCACCCGACAGATAAGTGATGTAGATATGCTATAATATCTAGCAAGTAATAAGAAGTTAATAAGGACAATATTTAAAATTATCGAGCAACACCTGCTTTCATTTTCAGGTATTAGTGAATAGATTCCAAGAGAGATAAGATAACACAATAAAACTCCATAGTAATCCTTTAAAAAAAAACATTGTAATTATTTTCCAAAAAAAATGCTCTAGAGTTGCTTCATGTTTGTGAAACATGTATGGGAAAAAACAGCGAAAATCGTAAAGGTAATTATTTTTAAAAAGCAATATCTGAATGAACAAACTGAGAATTTACAAAACAGCAAACATTTTTTCCTCAATCATCTAAACTCTTAAATATGAAAAACTTACCATAAATATATAAAATATGTGATCTATATATAAAAATTAAAATAAGTAAGCAAAATAGATTCCAGCCCATGATGTAGCAAGCGACGCAATAGATGTGGAAATCGTAAGCGCCGCTTAATTTATGCCTCTCGAATACATACTGCAAAATAATAAAACCACAAAAAAATTGTCCAAACAAATGAATGAAAATAAAATCCAGATAATTAAGTCGACCCAAAACTCATTCTAATTATATATAGACATAATGAAACCGAATTTGTAAGTTTCTCACATACGATCGTATGCATGATTTTCTGGAAAGATGGTTATCTGTGTGTAGAGGTTTACACGTTGATTTTATTTATTTTTTCTTCTTCTTTTTTGCGATATTAATTGGAACAGTTATTTTTTAAGGGAAAACTACCACATCCGAAGAGAAGAACGAATAAAAACTATTTCAAAGTAGAGAAGCAGAAAACAAATATAATTAATTATATATATAAAAAAAAAAAAAATTCCCATCATGCGATAAAAGAGGAAATGGGAAAATTTTCCTATTGTGCAGAAAAGTAAAAAAAATAATTATATAAAAAAAACGTACATAAAAGAGGAGTAAAGAAATGAGAAAATAAAGAGATTTGTTTAAAGAAAAAATAACTCGGGGAAAACCTTTCTTTTGTATATAAAGATTACCTACTATAGTAATTAATAGTATTCCACTTCGAATTAGAATTACTATTGGGATTAAATACGTTCTATTGCAATTCTATTAAGATTACAATTTACTACGTTTTCACAAATACTAATATTTACATATTGTTTAATTTAATAAAAAAAATTATTTGACAAAACCCCTTCATTAAGATAGGTCCAAAAAATATTTCTATTTTTTAAATAAATCCAAAATATTATTAATCAGCCATAAATTTTATAATTTCACTATAATACCCTTTTCATATTTTTTTAAACCTAATCACTACTAGTCGTCTCTTTCTTTTATTTCTCTTCCCTACTCAACCCGCGCCTCACGTCTCTCTCTCATCTATGCCACCACTTTTTTCTTCTCTCTCGCTTTCTTTGGGTTTTTATTCAATTTTTTTTTCTAACCGGCGCCTCCCTTACCAACCCCCAAAACAAGACAGGTGGAAATCATCCGATACAAGCCGTTTGGGCCCTTCCTCCTCCTCTACCGCCATCGTTTGCCGAAGACGACATGTGCACCCGCGTCAAGAGCAGCAACCACACTATTGAATCCCATTCGGGCTATGGAAGAAGTCCGTAAGCCTTTAGTTAGACTTAGTGAACCTGGGTAAGACCTGCCTCACTAATAGGATTTTTATTGGTGAATTACTGAGTGATTTTTGTTTATTGATAAGTTTTAGTGAATTTTTGTAATAGAATTTATTATTTAATCCTTACAGCAGCAGCAAACCATAACAATTATAAAGACTACAGAAACCAGAATCATTGCAAAAAGTAGGAAACAAATAACACAAATAATAGAAAAATGAACCACGGCGAATCACACATATTCGTAGGAAAATGAAGCTCTGGCGGCGATTGAGGTTCCCGGCTCAATCTCTGTTTCCCATTAGTCCTCGTCCAAGACCCACCAGTAGCAGCCACACGCCCACCGAAACCAGCCGAATAACCCAAAGCACTCTCTGATCTCGAAACCCGAAAAAAACCCAAGAAACACCAACTCACAAAGAACCAAGAGTTTGAATAAATCAAACGCACACAACACTCAACCCAACATCCAAACACTCACAAAGAGTCGAGACTTACAAAGAGTCGAATCAGTCACGAAGAAGAGATTTTGGAACAAGGTGAAAAGCATGTTGAGTTTTCTTGGTTCATTTCTCTCACGAAGAAGAGGTTTATTTAATAGCCTCCAAGAACTGATTTCAGCGAAAACAGAGGAGTCGAGATATTGGCGTCACAAATTTCCGGCGATGAAATCAGGCTAGAACAGAGGACAAAAAAAGCAGAGACGGAGATCAGTATTTGGTAGGGAGAGAAATTTAAAGCAGAGGAGGAGATCAGTTTTTGGTAGGGAGAGAAATTTATTCACGTTATGACTTCTTCAGTGGGTCAAGACCATCCAGTTCTCCATGTGGGCTTTTCAAGTGTAGGATCGCTCCAAGATGGGCTGGTGGTTGCATGCTGGTATTGGGCCAAAGATGAACAAAAAACATTTGGGCCGAAATCCCAATATATTTTCGCGTCCAAGTTATCTCATAAGAGGTTTTAGCATCCGGCTCCCCTGTGTAATGTCTAATGGCTGCAAAAGCCCCTGTGTTCAAACAATTAGCACATACCCTCTTGTGTTACATAGTCAACGACATTAAGGCCCCTATGAACTGGACGTGTGATACACTCGCCAAATATGCGACTGGGGTTTGATTTTTTTGACTTGAAAAGACCCAAATACCCTTTACATTATAAATTTCAAAAATAAGCCCCAAATATTGTTTTCATTTTTTTTCAATTTAGTCCCTTGAAGTTTCAGAAAAGTCCTCTTCTTCCTTAAGTCAGGGGCTGATTTGCAATTTCCCAAAAGTACATTGAACATAGCTGACTGCCGCTCTCCTTCCGGCGAACACTCTCTCCGGCCTCACCTCCCTCCATATCCTCAGCCGCTTGGCCCCACCACTTCAACGATTTCTCTAACGAAATTCGGTTCAATTTGCAGCTAAGATTCAAGCTCATTATTATTCCTGCGCAAAAACCATCAACAACCCACATGAAAATCCAAGAAAATATATGCCCCCATCGAAAACCATCGAAAACTGAGCTTTTAGAGAAAAAAATCCACGAAAAAAACTATTTTTTGCAGTTTTTGGCGTCTTCTCTGGCTTCTTCCGATAGTAACCCACCATTATGCAAGCTACCTGATGCTTCCGGATCCAAACCTCCCCGCTGTTTTTCTGCTTTTTATTGTCTTCTCCGACAATGGCGGCGATTAGGGTTTTAGCTGGAGTTTAGTAATTTTGCTAGGCTTGCTAAGATTCAACAATTTTCAAGAGAAGAATCGGCTGGTGTGGAATTGGCAAGAAGAATTTGGCGGTGGAAGGGACGAGAAGAGCGGAGGAGACGGGTGGTGGAAGGAAGGAGCGGCGGCGGCAACGACGTAAAGATGTGATTGTCGGAGGTGGTGTTGAGAGTTTGGTGGTGGTGGTGATTTCAATGAGAAAGAAGAATTTTGGGGAAGACATGTTCTTTCTCTCTGTTTGGAGGCGGCGACTTGAACGAGGTAATTGCCGGCGGTCATGGCAATTTCAGTGGAGAAAGAAGAATTTTGGGGAAGACGCAATTTTTCTCTTTTCTTTTCTTTTTCCGTTTTTTTTTCCATAAAAAATGTGTTTTTATTCCTTTTTTTTTTTTTTTTTTAAATGCAATTTGATCCAAAGTTTTGGATTAATTATATTTAAATCCAATTCGATTGTATGTTCGCTTAATTTACAACTCAGTCCCCTAATTTAAGTTTAAGAGGTTTAGTAAAACTAGTATTCACCCGTGCGATGCACGGGGCGGCATATTTTTGGGGCGACGTATTTTCAACTGGAAATACATGTCTGTGAAACTCATAAATTGAAGTACAAAACGCCATCGACCAACAATATTAAAAATATGTTATAAGTATCATGTTCTTCATAGTTACAATATAAGAATAATATTAAATATTAGAATATCGACAGACATAAATCTTAAAGATAATAGGATTTGCACTGAGCATCCTAGGGACATGACTGAAAATAACATTGCACGGGGGAAAACATATTGGAAAGATAGACCTGCCAAAGAGTAAGGTGTTAAAAAAAATAAAAACCAAGACATGTTACATGAAGAACTCATAAATATGAAAATATTTTCAACCTTCAAATTCGATGAAATACTTCCTTGTAGACGTCATTTCTAGTAACATCGGTGAGTTTGCCCGAATCCCACTTGATGAATATCTTAATGCCACCTCTGCTCTTAACTTTGGACAGTGCAACATATAGTTGACCATGGCTGAAGACGGGCCGAGGAAGATACAAACCAACATGAGAAAGAGTTTCGCCTTGGCTTTTGTTGATCGTCATTGCAAAAGAAACAATCAACGGAAACTGTCTTCTCTGAAATTTAATTGACTGTCCGGGGTTAGATGGTATTCAAGTCATCCGAGGAATGAACACAATGTCACCGATATTTTTACCAGAAATAAGTTTACAATGTAGAACGTGAATGCCGATTATAATAATTTGAAGTCTGGTCCCGTTGCACAATTCTCTGCTTGATCGATGTTTCTTATTAGCATAACTGGTGCAGCGACCTTGGACTTCAATACATGAGAAGGAAGCCCCGAGCATCTTATTGTGTTGAGAAATTCAGTCGAATAGATTTTTGCATTATCCTCCGTTGTTTGCTCGTCCCTATACATACTATCTGAGCTCAGGTACACCTTCTCCTCACCTAGAAGAAGAGACATTAAGTGATCGTTCACAGACTTGACGCATTCATTAGTTGGGGCAAGAATTGTCCTCCCTTGAAAATAATCTGGATCATACATGCTACTCAACAAATCGGGATAGACGAAGTTCAGTAGGTCTCTGAATGGATCTTCTGAATCACCAATCAACATGTTCTCGGGAATCTCTAGCGAAGCTTCATCATCATTTTGTTCCCTAACATCCCCACTTTAGTATCCAGTCCCCAAATTCTATTACCTCGTCCACATTAGATGGAGAAGAACATGACTGCAATCTCATGTTCTTAGTCAACTTCATGACATGACAGAAATGCCACAAGGGAGAGGAGTTTACCGTAGCATGTACTACGTCATGCCTTGATGCTTTGAGTACAACTGGTAAAATTTGCCTAAAATCTCCTCCAAGAACAACCATCTTACCTCCAAACGGTTTGTCTACCTGTAATATTGACTTCATTGTCTTGTCAAGCGCTTCAAAACAGTTTATATGCATCATAGGAGCCTCGTTACACATAATAAGCTTAGCCCTAATCATCAACTCCACCTCTCGACTTTGTTGCGTTATGCTGCGGGTGGAAGGTTCGTGTACATTTATGGGAAGTCCAAATCGAGAATGAGTTGTTCTTCCACCGAGGAGTAATAGCGATGCTATACCACTCGATGCAACATTAATTACAATCTCTCCCTTGGAACGGACTGCAGCCGAAAGAGTTTTTCAGAGAAATGTCTTTCCCGTTCCACCATGACCATATAGAAAGAACATTCCACCACAGTCATTGGATACAACATCTATGAATACATCATAAACCTTTGTTTGCTCGTCTGTAATTGGGGCAAGACACCATTGAAGTTCTTTACCCAATTCAAACCGTCGTAATCCAGTTCATCTAAGACCAATATGTTTATTGTGTCATCCGTCGTAATTACGTAGACTTTTACCATTACTTTGCAATATTTTCTCTATTTTAGTGAGATTATAATTCATCAAGCTTTCATCCGATATAGATAAATCTGCACAAAAATTTGATACATTATATGCATTAGGTTCAAAACTTAAAGAGACTATTAAAAAAATGAGTAATATTTAAAATCTAATTGAATAATATTCTATACAAATTGCCATACCTGGATTATTATGAAGCCGATGTTGTTTGTAAGCAATACCCTCTGCCAAACCCGACCAACAACTTTGCCAAACATGTTCGGGCCGATTTAAGCTATTGGAAAGCAGCATAACCACAAATAACCCCCTTATATAACCACCAAATGTCCAAACATTCACTTGTCTTACCGCATCTATGTATTCTTTGTCGTCGTCTAACAAACCCAACACATAACACACATCCCTGAACGTAGGGTAGATGTAGTTAGCAACTTTTCTGATGTCCTCGTAACACGTGCAGCCCTCTGAATGTTAAGTGGCAACCTAAGGTAATAGTATTCCCCATTTGCAGGGGCAACATTTGCAATCCTACCAATAGAAAATCATTTTTTTCTTGGCGCCTAAGTGCAAGAATTCTCCTTATACACAAGCTGCTGTGGAAAATATCCGTACCTCAAGTCCCTGGCATGTGGATAACTCTTGTTCGCCTCAAACCACGCTAAGAACATCGTTTGATTGGTAGATGGCCTATCCATAACACTTTGTAATGACTTGTTTTCATTGAAGACAAGCGCCTGATGATATGGGAGATAAAAGCTTAGCCTAATTACAGATGGGTCGCTATAATGAATATCAAAATTAAACAACCTCCACATTGCCTCACATGGCGAAAGATATCTGCAGTCATAGTACATCTTTATCTCGTCACGAATCTCAGCACTGCCATCTATATTACGTCTTTCGTAAAATGCCGCCGTAACTCGATCATGACCCTTATTGACGTATTTAAATAGGTATTTGATTGACATATTTTGGTTGCATAGCTCTATATTAATGTGAGATCTGTATTTACTCAATAATGCCCAATTGTAGGAAACTACAAACCGATTGTCAAGAGTAGTCTTCTTCTTCATTACCGTTCTTCCATCTTCCCTTCTCATGTACACAGTATAACCATCTGCATCTGACTCAGTTCGCTCCACGAATGGCTTTGGAAATTGCTTCGTGCAAACTAATCCTTCATACATGAAGATTTCAAATTCGCCTGACCGCACGGTCCATGTATCATATACTTCTCCACCAACTGGTACATCTTTCTGTCGGTTTCTTCGTCAGGAATTTCAGCACATATAATCTTGTCAATTTCTTCTGGGGTCTTGGGCTTGTCATCATTATGCAACCACAACAAAATATGTGCATGCAGTAGACCTCGTTTCTGAAATTCAATAGTGCACACATCTGGAGAGGAACTGTAAACAAATGATATTAAACAATATGCATTAATTCAGTTAATGAATAAATAAATATTAAAACTCACACATGATCCATATTTCTAATTACTATGAATGTAGTAAATGTATAATTATAAATTGAAATCTAATTAAATACTTACATGCTCTAATACGTTCGAATATACGCCATTTCTTAATTTATGTCATCATACTATCGAGCTTCATCTTGAACACACGACATAGAATGTTTGGCCGATCCCCCGGCCTGAGATTTGTATCTTTCAACACCCTTTGTATTTCAGGCCATTGAGGATTGCATGTGAAGGTGATGAAGAGAGTTGGAAATCCTATAATGTGAAAATAAACAATAGTTAGTTAAATATAGTTATAATCACATTTGATAAATGGTTCCTATTTGTATTTGATTGAAAATGTACGAATAAATAATGTAGCAAATACATAGTTCTTACCTCATTTGTGTCACTCAATTCGTCCATTTTTTTTCTAACAGTCTTACGTATGAAATCATCTTCCATCGAGTAAGAAGATTGCGACGACATCTGACTTATCACTTGACCACTATTTGGTTAACCACGAATGAAACTAAAAGAAAAACTACATGCTAATAAATCGTAATGAACGAAATAAATGTAAAACAAAGTAATTAATTTATTTAAAGATAAAATTATAACCTCGATTTGAATTCGTTAATTGTAGGAATATCCTCATTCATAAGCACACGCGATGAATGCCAATGGTTGGATACCTGGACTTCCCCTAAGAAAACATAAGAATAGTCATGAAATGTAATAAATGTCCTTCACATTCATTAAACCAAATACATAAGAGAAATATTGAACAAATTAATACCATTCTTAATCTTAGTCGTTGCAAATTGTATTACAACAATATACGGCCCTACACTAATATCATGAATTCGTTGAAGTATGTAGTCAGGAAACTTTCCCCCAAGCAAACAATCACTTGCATGTCAAAGAAAACGATGATGGATATGAAAAACACATGTAAAACATTTAAAATCTAAAAAATATATTTCAGTGAGTTTTAAATTACTCAATATCTTCAAGTTCAAATGGAATGTTCTGTTTGGTTCCATCGGCTAGGTGAGCCAATGAACCTATGGACAAAAGCGAACCAATAACATATGTAATCAATATTAAAACATTGTAAGAAAACACTTTATAAATAAATTCTAAATATAAAGAAAAAGAAATCATATAAATAACTAATACCTATCGTATACCCATTGTTGTTCGACGATTGCTAGAAGATGTGAACTTAAATGAATACATTGGAATGGATGAAACATCAACTTCTCTCACCGTAGATGTATATTCAAAAGTGACATAATAGTCATTCAATGCATGCTTGTAGGTCTTAAGACTAAAAAAAGCGGGTATGTTTGACATTACATAACATCTGTTCTCTCTGATCTTTGATTTATATCTGTATAACAATGTATACTTAATGGAAGCTTCCACTGTGAAAATATGGTTTGCTAACAAATCAAATTTGACGTGTAAAAATAAAATTATCACATGTTCATCAATGAAGATCATCTCCATGTCTTGAAGATCTTTTAAAATAATTTGGTTGTTTCCAAATTCGCAAAACACGGATTTTGAGATTCCGTGATTTTTTTTCGCCTTCCAAGTTTCTAATGAGATCTATTTACCTTGACATCTATAAATGTTTAATACGCGTAATCAAAAGTTTGTTAGTTAGTTAATTCGCATTATAAAAGATGAATATACTATTACAAATCTTGAACTATATACGTTACCTAATATGAATTAAGTTACAATATATTATCTATATGAAAAAGTACATTAATTCCTATACTCGAATATTGTAAAAGAAAAAAACAAAAAAAATTAAACAATTATTCTCAAATACTATTATACTCACGATTCACACAAAGAGAACGATGGCCGGATGATGAAGTTTCGAGAGAATAATATTATCCTGCAGTTTAGACTAACACTGAAATGAACCGTGTATATACAAGATGGTGAGTTTTAATAGTTCCTAAATTATACTAAATGAAATACAATTATAGTAATGAAATTATAGTTCCTAAATTATAGTAAATGGAATACAATTGTAGTTAATAGTTCCTAAATTATAGTAAATTATAGTTAATAAATATTCATATTTCATATTATGAAATACAATTAAGCAATTTTCTATGAATACTTGCACCAAAAGGGGAAATCCCTCGCCCCCAGGGCCCCCATCCGTTGGCCCGACAAGGATTGATGGAAGAATGTAAATCATGGTAACTCAACGGCCCGTTAAGGTAGCGGACCCGGACCTGGTGTCCATAAGGAACCAACCCTCATTGGAGTTGAAATTCCCACACTGCGGCTGTCAGGATTCTGTTGGGGGTTGTTTTATTATTATTTTAACTAGTAATTGTACCCGTGCGATGCACGGGACAACAAATTGCATTGTTTTGATTTTGTAAGAATATAAACAAACGTTTGATGTATCGTATGATCAAAATTCTATTATACTGGAACATTATTAAGTATACTACACCAAAAAAAAGGACATAACTTTACTGTTGAATAATTTTCCAAATGAATTGAATCAGCTAATACCAGTAGATTGAAAATTTGAACCAGGAAAAAAATCATCAATTATGTCTTTCTTGTTGAGCTTAAAAGTAATTAGATTTAATACTAAGTTAACATAATCAAAACTAAACTATCGACAACATACTATCGTAAAAGGCCATCTATACATCTTCCATCGGAACTATGGCCTTCTCCACTGCCTCATTTTAAGGTTGTTTTGCCACTGGAATTAACAATTGGAAAATTAAGAAACAAAAATAAATACAAACAATAAATTAAATATCGCATACAAACAATAAGTCTTGAAGGTCGACTTCACATAGCTTGTGGCTCCGCCCATTTTTGGTTAATTTTCTCAAATCATCCATTTTAATAACATGTCCAATAACATATAAAATGAAATAATTATTATACATAGAATTTGAAAACTTTGGTATAAATTAATGAAACACATAATTTAACAAAATGAAATTACCTATAAGCCATGATGGAAAAAGATGTAAACTAATTGCCACACAGTGAATAGGATGAAGAAGAAGATAAGAAACAAAATCTAAACTCGGGTTACCAAAAGAAGAAGCCTTAGATAGGGAAGAAATAAAATTCAAATGTTGCAGACATTCTGTAAAACGATGTCACAAAATCCGCTAGGGATGAAAATCAGATTTATTTACCCTTTTCTGTAAAAATCGAAAATCAAATTATTATAAATAAAATCTAGGAGAATTTGATGAAAATCGTTAATAATATTTAAAATAATATTTAGGAGATAAAAATTTGATAAAAAAATCAAAAAATAATATTTAGGAGATAAAAATCTGATAAAAATCGAAAATAAAATTTAAAATAATAGTTAGGAGATAAAAATTTGATAAAAAATCGAAAATAATATTTCAAATAATGTTAATGAGATAAAAGTTGATAAAATATGAAAATAATAATTAGAATAATATTTAGGAGATAAAATATGATTAAATCATTCCGTAATAACTCCAATTCCACATTCAT